AACCCCCCCCCCCCCCCCCCCCCCAGTGAAGGCACCAAAAGGAGGGATGGAGAGATAAGGCAAAATCAGCTTGGTTAAAATTAGTATTTTGCATAGAACACAGAATAGTATATTATGAGGCCATTCCCAAAACAGGTATTTTACCACCGCTGTAAATAGAGCAGGACGGAGTGTCTTTGTGGGGGTGCGTGGAGACTTCCTGCCCCTTTTTCCTACCCTCCGACATGCTTGGTAAAAATCCAGGACATTTTTTTTTAAAAATAAATAAATAAACCTGACCATAAAGAGGAAACAGATGCCTCTTGGTTCACTGCCTAGAATTGGGGAAGTTATCTATTTTGATCCGAGCAGCGAGGGAAGCGAGAGACCAGAAAGATGAATGGGGCAGCCATGAAGGACCCCGAGTTATTCCGCATCTCTAATTCGCTCACCTTGTTGACAAAAGCCCTCAGAGAGGCGAAGACGTGCTTCAGGGCTCCCTCTGACTGCCCATTTTTGAGGAAGGCCAGATGGACGTCAAACACCTTTTTCATCAGCGGGTTGTGCCCATCATTGTTCGAAAGCTGATTCTAGGGAGAAGTGGATCCAGGTGACTTTGGGTGGAAAATCCCCAAAGGGGCTCAAGATACAGAGAATTTGCTGGGGTTTTTTTTTTAAATGCCGGGCAAATCACCAAGCTGGAATGGCCCCATCAAAGCAGCCCCAAACAACTACAGAATGTTTGGGATAGGTAGTCCTCATTTAGTGACCACAACTGGGACTGGCAACTTGATTGTTAAGTGAGACAGTCCCTCAGTGAAACCCCGACAGGGCTTATGGTCTGACTTCAGCTCTTCTTTGCATTACAGACCAAGAAACATTGCAAAAGCAAGGATTGGTCGCAAAGTTATTTTTTTATCATCAAAAGTAGCTGCAAATGGTTGTTAAATGAGGCAGTTGCTAAATGAGAACTAAGACCTCAAGAGTAGGAGGGCAAATTCGAATGAGGATCACAAAAGTTGGTCCAAGGAAAATTCAAAGCTGAAGACTCAATCAACCCAGAGCCCAGAAGTGTCCGAGTCCAGCTCTTACAAGGAGGACCTTCAACAGAAAGACGAGGGGCCGAGACGGACCTTGAAGCACTGGGTGAAGAAGGCGATGGTGTCCAGCACCGTCAGGGTCACTTCTGTGGCCAGGTTGCCTTCCAGCAGGGCCTGGTGGACAATGTCTGCCTCCGACGTGCCGGCACCTGAGATTAGAAAGCCAAGACTGACCTCTCTCACCCTCATCTTACCTGGCAAGGAAGGAGCGGCCGGGCAGAGCTTGTTCGGGGGCCGCAAAGCCGCAGGCCATCCCTGCTCGGTCAGCCTTGAGCTCTGGGGTCTGCAAGAGCAGAAAAAGACCCACCAAGGAGGTCCCTGAGGGCCACCCGGCCTTCTGCCGGCCACCTACTGTGGTTCAGGGTGAAGGAGCTGTCCAGACTGCTCAGGTGCTGAAGCCGGGCCTGCATGGTGCTCGCCCGGCTGCGGAGGGCGGGCATCGTCTGGGATTTCCGGTCAATGCTCGCATGTTTGGACAGCCACCCGTCCTGGACCCTGCAGCGGAGAGATTCGCAGCTCAGCCCTCCACGCAGAGGTCCAAATGCACCCCAAACCACACTGGGGGCAACTGCAGGACCCGCCATGGTCTGCAACTCGATGGCAGGCAGGACAGCCTCTCTGGGCTCCCTGATGGTCTGGCCTGGGGCCCTGAAGGAGAAGCTGTGACCGGAAGGGATTGGTACCCTAACAGAGAAGGCACCCCACCTTTCCCCTCCAAACCCTGGGGTTTTTGTTCGTTTGTTCTGCTTTTTGTAATTTTATGTTTTTATGTTTATAATTGTTGAATGTTTGTTTTACCTTGAGATAAGCTGTTAAGAGTCGCCTGAGCCATCAGATGGGCAGTAAATAAATTTGATAAATAGGCCTGCACTGTCCACAGGACCCAGCTGGTATATCCTCCGAATAAACGGCCCTTCCACCCCACCCCCACCCCCATTCCCCACAATACCTGCCAATGTTCCTTTTCCCCGCATATCGGAAGTGGAATAGACAGACTCTGCAGCAGGAGAGAGAAAGAAATTAATCAAGGTTAGGATCCAATGTGGCTTCTGTGGCTTGCTGGCACCACTCACACTGATTCCTCTGGCACCCTGGGTCATATTTTGGGATTGTGACCTCAATGGCTGTGAAGCTGCAGCCGGCTTTCCGTGAAAGATAAGGCCAAAAGAAGTTGAGAGGTGCCAAATTAGAAGACACAAAGGAGACTACTTTTAAGAGACTTCTTTTATAAAGAAGCTCAAAAGCAGCTCTGGAAAAATGTGCATTTAACAGTGCGGGAAGACATAGCTGTTTTCATTTCCCCCCTTTTTGAAAACTGTGTTCTGTAAGCTATTTTACATCTACAGGGGGACCGGCACACGCATCTTTCTCCAGCAAATAAAAATGCAGACTGGGACACCTGCTGATCGCCTGCCTGCAGGGAACTCGCTTTTCAGTACTAGAAAAACATCCAGACCAGTGTTTCTCAACCTTGGCAACTTGAAAATGGGTAGACTTCAATTCCCAGAATTCCCTAGCCAGCTATGCTACGGAATTCTGGGAGCTGAAGTCCACTCATCTTCAAGTTGTCAAGGTTGAAAAACACTGAGATCTGGAACGTCTTTCAGAACCTTTGGGCTATGACCATCCCATGAACTGTCGAGAGTCTTGTCCACGGGCAAAATGTGGCCATCGTGAATTCCTCTTCCTAGAAGTTTCAACAGGTGATCCTTCTTCCTCCCTTGAATCTCTTAGAAAAGGGTAGACGTAAACTTACTCTAGCAGAACCAAGACGTTCATCAGTTCCTGGGGAGATATTTTGTTCCAGTAGGACAACAAGGTGTCTGCAATTGAAAGAAATCTGCTTAAGACGTCTCCCGTTGTCCCTCCAGTCCCCCAGCCCAGGAAACGGGAAGGGAGATGGCTGACCTTCCGACAGCATCTTGACGACGTAAAGGTAGCAGACAAGGAGGCTGCGGATCTCATACTGGTCCAGCCGCCCAAAGTGGGAGAGGCTGCTGCGCGTGGAACTTTTCCGCATCTGCGTTGACTGAGAGGAGCCCCCCCCCAAAAAAAAGGAGGTGGGAAGGGTAAGGAGGGGAGGAGTCCAGGAAAATAAGGGTATTAGCTTAATCTTTAAATATGGCCAGCCGGTTCTTCCCACAGTCTAGCAGTCCCTGACTTATGACTGATCACTTAGAGACTGTTCAAAATTCTGACAGACCCCCCCCCCACAAAGATACCTATGACCTGATTCTGAAGTTCTGATGGCTGCCCCCTCCATGGGTCAAAGGATCACATGTTGGGTGCTCAGAGGCTGGCCGTGTATGGCATCCTGTAGTTGTGTAACCGTGTTTTATCAGGTCTTTGCAGAAAACCAGCATTTGCTGCCGGTTTTTGGCAAAATGCGCCCCATAGTGAACGACGGGACTCTCAGGAGCTTATAGAGCCATGCTGACTCTTCCCCAACCTCTCTGGAAATCTGAAAGAGCAACTTTACATTTTCAGTGGAGGAAGGCTGATCGGGGGAGCCAGCAGTTCCTTCGGAAGCGAGGGACCCCCGCGAGTCTTCCCTTTTCAAAAAAAGTCCATTCTGGAAGCCGGTGCCAAAAACTGCAAGAAAAGAGCCGAAGGCTTGCAACCAGTTGCACCAGAATGGGGGTCCCTGGCCACACAGCTTGACCCAGAACGAGGACTGTCCCAATAGGGCCATCCATGGGTCTTCCTGCTAGTCAGTGGAGTCGGCCTTGAGACCCCCAAGCTCTGAATCCCAGCAAGGTCTCCTTCCAGACTCAAAACTCTTCCACTAAACTAGAAGACCTCCAAGGTCCCTTCCAACTCTGTCCTTCTGTTATTCACCCCTAACCCCTGGCCAAGATTAGGGAGTGGGGGAAGGGTTCACACCCAGCATTCCTTACGTGAGTCTTTATCGACAATGAGGCTTGACCTGTTGGAAGGGGAGGTGAAGCTGCTCAGGAACTCATCCCGCGAGGCCTGCTCAGAAGACAAAGAAAAGGGTTCAGGGAAGGGGGCAACTTGGCTCAAAGTCAAGTTCATGACAATAACTAGAAGACGAGACAAGCTGGACATCTTGCAATAGTTTGCCTCTGGATGCTGGGAAGAGTTAAAATCCACCCAGGTTAAAGTTCCTAAGCTTGGGAAGCAGTGGACTAGAACCAGGGATCTCTAAGCCTTGCAACCTTAAGACTTGTGGACTTCAGAATTCTGGGAGTTGAAGTCCACAAGTCTTAAAGTTGCCATGTCTGGAGAGCCCTGGACTAGATTAGATGACCTTTCTGGTCCTGTTGGCCTCCTGGGTAAGCCAGATAGGAATCACAACTTGATCAGCCAATTCTGTTTTATTGTGAGGCTACCTTGACAGAATCTTGCAAGTCTGAAAGCACAGAAGGCCTCCTTGTCTCCTTCACCGTCCGAGAGAGACGGTTCCTTCCGAGCCCCTTGCCCCGCTTAGTAGAAATCTGTGGTCTCTGTCCTCTCTCATCCGACCGTTCCCTTGGCTGCGCCTCTTGACTCCGTGTCCCAGGCTCTTCCCCACCTATCATCACAGGCGCCTTCCAACTTTATGTTTCGAGGCTCACCATTTTTCTAAAGTTTTCCCTCCCAGCAGGCTCTGTGTGTGTGAACTGGGGAGCCTGTCCCACATCTGGAACGATGCAACTTCTTGCTTCGAAATTACTCACAGAGGTGGACATTGGTGTGCACAAGTACACGTTGCCCGGGCTGGCCAACCTCTGGACGTTTTCCAAAAGGATTCCGGCAAGCGGTAAATACAGCTGGGCTATTTTGGCTTGCAGGTTCTGCAAAAGAGGAGGGGCGAATGAACCCCCAGATAGGAGGTGGTAAGACGAAAAGAAAGCTTTGAATCTGTGGGGTCACCGAAAGCAAAGAGGAAGAGATCTGACCTTTTCTTCTGCCAGAAGAAGCATCAGCTTTGGGGGTTATTTTTCACTCTGGCCACTGGAAGGACACAATCAACGGGAGTGCTGATTTACCCCCAGCATATCAAGTACTTAGGAGGTGAGGGCCAATGGCTTAATAGACAGCTATCAACACCCCAATCAACAACTAAAAAGCCACACGCAACCAGGCACCACATAAATACTACACACAGAGCAGCCCAAAGCACATGCTCTGCTAGAAAGAAGCCCCCCGAGGATGGGGGCTCCAGCAGAGTCCAAAAGCTCGGAAGACAAAAGCTGTAGTCTCGGTGACCCACCCAGATTGGATCCTGCCACATCCCTTTATCTCCAGCCCTCCACACAAATCTGCACACAGTTGTTCTTATTATTGTTATTTGTTAGATTCCTAGCTCGTCTTTCCTGCAGGGAGTCAAGGATTCCCCAGCACCCCCCCTTGGGAAGGTGGACTTCCCAGGCTGGGTCCTGGGCCTCTCAGCCCCCCATCCCTTCACTGCAGCTCCAACATCGCAGTGGCCAGATGCAAAGATGTATCCTGTCACCATTTTTAAACCAGGAATGGTAGCTATTGCTTGTGCAGTCTGTGTCCCAACTGAAAACCAGGAGAAGATGTCATTGTCTTCCCTTTCAATATTTTTAGAAATGTATGCTGCAATCAAGCGAGTCTTTCCAGGAGATCAGGGTTACTTGCAAACTCCAAGCAGAGTTGCCTCTGTCCTCACAACAGCCCTAACTTGCCAGCTCAGGGGAGGTGGGAGGAGAGAGACAGAGAGAGCCCTCCCCAGCTGTCTCTTTGCAGCTGAGGACAGAGCTTCAGAGTAACCTCCTCTATTATTTACTTAAGGCATCAAACCTCTTCTGGGTTGGCACAGCAAATAACCGCAAAAATAGCACAAAGGAAAAAAGTGCACAGTACAGAAGAGCACACCTTAAAAGAGAGAAGATTGAGCCAGTTTTCAAAGCTCCAGCCCTGCTTGACACCTCCCCAGCTCTCGGCCAGTGGAACTTCACCAGGAACCCCTTCCAACGCCAAGCAGGGAAGAGCCAGGCAGAGGGAGGGGGAGGGAAGTTCCCAGAAGTTCAGCTCCACGCTGAATGATGAGTTGGATACGTGCAGAATTGCAGAAACGCCAGCGGAGCCTCAAGGGAGGCGGCCTGGCCAGCAGCCACTTTGTTTTGGCTGGCTGCCAACTCTGGTGGTCATGAAAAGGGATCCCAGAACACATTAAAGAATCAAATGAAGAGGATGCTCCAGCTGACCAAGAGGAAGCCAGATGTCGGCTAAGCCACCAGCCAGCAGAAAGAAGGTCCAGAGCATGCAAGCTCTCGGTTATTTTGTCCTTCTCATCAGCCACAGTCAGCAATTCCATGGCATTAACCATTCCCGACTGAGCAAAGTCAATCAATGTACATCCTATGACTTTTGACAATTGGTTGAGAAGCAGGTTGCACAACCATCACGTCATTTTGAGCCAAACCCACATCTGTGGCCACGGCAATTGGGTTCAGCTGAGCTAAACCACCATGCGGTCTGTTTAGTTTTGGCTCAGTGTGTGATGTGAGCTATCCAACAAGCAAACCCAAAGCAGTCATGCAATCTATGAACCAAGTCAACGTTGCCTCAAGCCCTTCTACCTTATGCTGGTATCTGTTATCAAAGGCGTGCTTGATGAGAAGGCTTTTCAAGATGCTGATGGCCACGTATCGGACATCAGAGTTGTCCTTCAGCGCGGCGGAGGTCTCTCGCAGGAGCACTCCCACCAAGAAGTGGTGGCGGCAATACTCATCACTTAGACTGTACTCAAGGTTGACATCTGTGAAGAAAAGGTTGGAAAGGACTATTCTGATGTTACCACAGTGACATCCGGTGATGAAGTCTCGGAGTCTCCCCCAGGATCACTGCGGAGAAGAGGATGCCGAAGAACTGGCCCACCCCACTGGCTGAGCTGTTTGGTCCTGCTAAGCTGGAGTTGGAGGTTGGGGGCCCAGGAAATGAAAAAGACGGGGAAGAGCTGGGGGGAGATGTGCAGAGAGGGGGCAGGAATCTGAAGATACTGAAATAAAACAGACATCCTAGCGGCCATAGCCCAGATTATTTATAGCAACCATTCAAGATGCTCAACTAAACTTCTGCTTCTAGAAATGCCAAATTGTAGCTGCATAAACAGATTGAGATCTTTCAATGTCAATGCAGACATTTTTACAAACAGAAGGTTTGCAGGTGTCTCGGATGGCTGTTCCAACTCTGTCTGTTTGCCTTTTCCGATGAAACAATTGCTAACCTCTGCTGGTTTCAGAAGCAAATCCAGATCGGGACCCTGGGTGCTGAATGCGAGGGAGCAAATAAGGAAGGCTTACAAGAAGCCCAAATCCTTACTTATTTTAAGAGCATTTGATCTGGCAGAAAACATTTTCCAGACTTTATTTCTACCCTCCATCTAGCAAACCTTGCAGAGATGAAGGGGCCCAGAAAACGGGAAACAGAAAAGAATAGAATTAAATTAATTGGATTAAGTTAAGATGGCACAAGGAATGGAAACAACTGATGAGCACCAGAAGAGGCACATTTATAAATATTGGAAGAGGCCCAAATTTTTCTCATTTTATCTTCACAGCCAAAACTTTGTGCTTGTGTCCATGGCAGTGAATATGCTCCACTGTGTGGGTGTGTATATTTTATCCCTTTGCTCTGACTGTTTCAACAGTTAAAAGAAAGCTGGGGGGCAAACAGGAAAGACATTTTTAAAAGTGCTTTTTAAAGTAGGTATTATCTCCCAGGTTAACTGATTTTTCACCACAATGGTGCCAGTTCCGTTTTTAGCGAAGCCAACTCCTAACTATCAAAAGACCTGCTGTTACTTAATCCTGCAAATTCTATATGCAGGCTTTGCTGAATTTCTCAGGAAGTTTCAAAATGGCCATTCCCTGTCTGAGCTCCCAGGCCAATATTGGCTTAGAGAAATAATCTGTTGTTAGTCGTGGCCTACTGGGGGGTGTGAATCACACAGCATTTCACAGACCTTGCGTTCGATGAAACTTTGGCTTGGCAAAATTCATCGGCAAATTCAGCGGAATGTAGTGCTCATGGCTACAGATGGTCTGCAGAAACTCAAACTTATATTCCACCAAGAGCTGGATGTGGAGAAGAGAAAAAAAAAAAAGGATTATAACAGACGGCCTCTGCTTTCTATCTTCTGCAATGGCTCTGGGAAGCGGAATATTTTACCTTCGGGTCTTTGGGGCTGAACCCAGAAACGTAATCGTTGATCAAGTTGAAGATAAATCCTCGGTCCATGAAGGTCAAACATCGCTGTGGAAGGGGATAAAAGTGAATCTCCTGCTTCGCATTGACTGAAGGTGCATTTAGTGGGTGTGAATGCTATTGCTGGGGTAACCTTTGGGTATTTGGGGGCTCCCATCGACAGTTTCAGTCCTAGAAGCGGTTCTCAATGTCGGCAGGCTGAGTCAGCCCAACCGGAAGAAACATTTGGCCCTCTTTTGCTTTTAAACTAAAGATGGGGAAGGAAGGAGAGGAAGACTACACCACCTTCAACAAGTTGGCCAAGGAGAAGTTGACATTTCTCGACTCTTCTGGGATTTCGCTGTAACGAATGTTCACATGTGGAATAATGGAGAGCAGCAAAGAATGCAGCGCGTGACCGTAGGACTCCGGGAACCGCTGTGGCCTGGGAAGCTGAAGGGGCACGGTGTGAAGTCCGGCCCAAGCTCCTGGCATTCACACAAGACCCATGTGGCTTGCCCATGAAAGCTGCCTGGGGTGTGCTTCTGCCCTTACCTTAATCTTGTTCTCATCCAGAAGATAAAGAGCCATCGACTTCACCAGAATTTCAAAGAAAAACCACGAATACTGGAAGCAAGAGGAAGAGAAAAGAGAGGTATCCCAGCCAGGTCAGGTCCCCACCTGTTCCCACAGTGCAGGAGAAGCCACGGTGTGTACGAGGCCACCAAACGAGCAGTGTGTAGCCTTCCTCCATACCCTTGGCCTGATGGGCTTCAAACTTTGCAAGAGGGAGAGGTGGCCTTGAAGGGCTTCCTTTTCCATCTTTGGTCTCACCTTCAGCATCTTATTGATGGCCAAGAAGTCTGCAGACTGCTTGAGAATTGTTGATATGGCTGCTGCCAAGATTTCGTGCGTCATTTTAGCCTGGGGCCGGCTGGGTTTCTCGGGCTGAAAGCAGTACTGCGGGGGAGAAGAGACGTTGGATGCCCTGGACAGAGCCTATGACCTAGAATGGAGTCCTTTCTCCAACTTACCTTGACGAATGTCCGCAAATAGTGGTCAAGACTCCCCTCATGGCATCTGGATACGATGTAGAGAAGAACCCTGCAGGAAGGGGTGGAAAAGAAGGTCAGAGGAGAGCACCTCTCACTGTTACATGGAAGAGTAACCCCATTTCCATGATCGCAACTCGCTTTCCTATCAGGGCCCGGCTGGCTCGGCGGACGTAGAACGATGCTCGGTTGGGACTATCGTCCGTTTCCTCCTGCCCATCTTGAGTTGTTTACTCCAGGCAGCCCTTTGGCCTGGTCAGGACAGACTCCCACAAAGTTACGACTTCTGAAAAAAGTGGCCGATGACCCTTGCTCTCAGGACCGAGGCAGCATCCCCGTGGTCAAGTGCTTGGCAACCAGCCCGTATTTGTGACAGTTGCAGCATCCCTTGGTCAGTCGGTCAGCATTTGTGACCTTGATGTCCAGCAAGCAAACTCAAGGAGGGAAGCTGGATTCGCTTAATGGCAAAAAAAGGCTGTAAACTCAGGCATAGTCACATGATGACTTACTGACCCCAGCCTCACTTAGTGACGAAGGTTCTGGTCCCAACTGAGGTCATATGGCGAGGACTAGCAGTGTTTGGTTTTTCCCAGGGAGCAACTCTTTTGGAAGAGCCCCGGGATAAATTTCCATCTGAAAATCTCTCCTGCTTGAGCAGGGGGGTGGACTAGAAGACCTGCAAGGTTCCTTCCAAGACTGTTATTCTGCTCTTCTGAGCTCACCAGATGGGTGGGCTTCTGTAACGGACCCGGTCAAGCCACTGGGCTGCATTGGGCCACCTGCGTGCTGAGAACATTCCCAAGGCAGAAAGGAAGTCCACCTGAAACAGGCCCCTTGTCTGTGGCCCAAACTCACATGGTGCTGTTGACGGCCACCTCTTCCTCTCCTGGGTGGTTGGTGAGGACTCGGAAGAGTTGTGTAAGAATCACGGGCAGAAACTGTATCATGACCTGGATCTCCGTGGCGTGCAAACACTGAAACCAAGATACGTGGTTAGACTTCAAGATGGGGCAAAGAAGAAGGTCTTGGGATCTTTGAGCCTTCGCTTGGTCCTTGCTTCCATAAAGGAGATCTCATTTGCACTCTCCCCAAAATATCCCCCTCCCCCTGCCGTCCAGTCTCAGCTCACCTTCAGATATTTCACAAGTTCTCCTGGCACTTCTTTGGCACCCCCCTGAATCGTCTGGCAATACTGGAAGAATTTATGCAGGTGACGATCCTGGTGTGACAGAACAACCAAACCTTAAGAACAGAGCGAGCCGTTTCCACTCGTGCCTCACCTGAGCTTACTGCAATCTGGTAGATCCTTAGCTTGGGGGGGTCTTCTCCTCAAGGCCCGGGCAACACACCTCCCTCCTCACCTGGGGGCATGTTTTGTTTTCCTGAGGAATCTCCAACAGGTTGGGAGTGGGGTGGGGACGGTCACGGCTGCCCTGTTTTAAAGACTTATTTCTATGGGGTTGCAAAAGGGCCCCTGTGAAGGCCGGTCTTCCTTCCACGTTTATTTATTTAAGAAAACGTATATGGTCGCCAAATTATTCTCAATGACTCCAGGCGACTTACAAGGATAAAAGCCCAATGCAAGAACAATAGAAAAGCAATCACACACACACACACACGGTGACAACAATCAAATGAGCCACTTGATGGTCTCCATCCCACTCTGGGGTCTCCAGGCCTGTTGGCAGAACCAGATCCTCTGGGCCTTTTGAAAGAGTGTTGAAGTGGGGGGGGGGTCAGTCTTATCTCCCTGGGGATGATGTTCCACAGGGAGGGAGCCGCCACGGAGAAGGCCCTTCTTCTTGGTCCCACCAGGTTGGACCTCCTTAACATACCTGGGTATATATGGTGGACTCCAAGTGTAGCCTCAGCTTGAAGAGGGCCTTGGCTCCATCCACCCATTTGAGGTCGGTATTTGGCTGGAGATCCAAAAGAAGAAAGAGACATCTTTGGAGCTTGGGGTCTGCCTAAACTAGTCTGGGGTACCTGACCAGGCAGTTTGGCCCAACTGGGGATGAAGAGAGTCATTTAAGTTGAACCCAGAAATTGGCCCACGCAAGAGAGAGAAAATGTTTCTGTCTTATGTGGAAAGAAAAGTATTTCTATGTATAAAAAAATCCCAGTTCCTCCAATTCTGCAGCCAAGAAGCCATCAGAACAACACAAGCAAAGCTGTCCAGTTCTTTGTGGGTTTTCGAGAGCACATCTTGTTTACACGAACACAGTTTTCCAGGAACTGGGACAAAGGCATGGCAGCCTGGGCATTTGCAACAAAGGGGACAAGTTGTACTCCTTGGCAATGTGCCAATGGCACAGGGGCTTGGAATTGGCTAAGAAACCAGGGATACCTGCCTGGTTGGGTGCAACCTCTATGGATTTGTTCGGCTTGAAGGGCGAAAAACGGCGTATCCAAAACCACACACGGGTTGTCCTCCTTATGACGAATCCATCTCACAGCAGCCTTACCTTTCGTGCCTCAGTATCTCCGGCGCCCAGGTAGCCGGCTGGCAGGTTGGCTGAGACCGGGAGCTGCTGCTCAGAGGTGATAACCAGCCCGTCTTTCAGCAAAGGAAGCCAGGCAAAGCCGACTGTGGGGACGGAAGAGACACTGCGCATCAGCCACGGCCCGGGAGCCGCTGGTCTGCAGGGCTGCAGAAGGTTTATGTGGCACCTGCAGGTCAGATCCTGCAGTGCAGACTCTGGCTCTGCAAGGACGTTCAGCCAGGATCCCAGAGGATAATTCCCAGCCTGTGCTGTTCATTTAGGAACCCAGGCAGTGGGCAAGTCCAGAACCCTGGGGAAGGAGAGGCTTGGGATACCCGTGGTCTCCACGGCGTCCTGTTTCTTCGCCGTCCCCTTTGTGTTAATTTCGCAGCTGATGTGGTAGAAGGTGAACAGCAAGTGATGCTTCTGGTGGAGGTGGATCGGAAGCTGGATTTTGATCTATGCAACAGGAGGAGAAGGGAGGCTGAATTCTCGCACCATTTCGTTTTTAAAAAAGATGATCAGCATTTTGTTTTGTCTGGCTGGAGAATTCTGGGAATAGAAATCCACCCGTCTTAAAGTTGCCAAGTTTGAAAACATTAAAAGGAGGATCCTAAGCAAACTTGAGTTCCGTAAATAGAAAATAATCTATCTTCTCTTTAATGGGGCGGCTGGCTGTTTTTTTTCTCACCTCATCATAAAACTCGGGGCTCTGATTGTGGTGCAAGACACAGGCGTAGGCGTGCGAGGTGAAGAGTGGCCCTCCGGGTTTGCCGTAGAAGCACTGCAGGATGAACAAGATCTCAGTGAGGTTGAGAGGAGAAGACTCTAAGAAGGCGCGATTATCTCCTTGGACCATCCAAGGTCCTTCCCTCACCTCCCCTGCAACCCTGCTCAGTTCAGCCTCATCGGAATTAGGCCCCAAGAAGGGGAGATGTTATCACACCGAATCCCACTGCCAGGATTCAGATGAGGGTGGAACAGATCTCCCGATTCCCGGCTGGCCAGGTTTAGGAGCCCAAGACTGAAGGGTTTCAACCTGGTCAATTGGCTCCCTCTAGTGGGAATTCTGGACAAGCTGATGGACCTTCTGTCTTCGTTCATATGGAACGGAGGCCCAATTGGGCCTCTTGACCCCGATCTAAGCCAGCCCCTCTGTGCCAAGCGCTTGCAGAACGCAGGAAGCCCACCAATCACCATGCCTGGAGATCAGCTGGCAGGTGGACAGGACCTTCCAAGGGGAAGGAGATCATTCATCTGGCCCAGGGGTTGGAACATAAAGGACAGGGAGGTTTTGGAGATAGAATGGCAGCATAAGGAGAAGGATATCCCAGAAACATAACCTGGGGCCCCAGAAGGTCACCAGCCGCCTGAATGCCAGGGGCCACAAGAGGCCAGAGGAGCAGGACCACCTTCTTGCGAGATGGCCCTCTTCCCTGGGCCCGGCTCTGGAGTACCTTTAAGGCTTTGGCGTCTCCTTCATCAGAGTCCTTGAATTCCACCCGGATGGCGATGTTTCTTGCCTGGAAGAGCGACCCACGGTGGGGACAAGGGAACGTTGAGGCCCCCGTTTTTGCCACAAGGAAGCTCTCCTCACCCTCCCGTGCGTCTCTGGCAGGAGAGGCCTCCCTGCTCACCTTGGCAAATGTCTTCTGGCCGTCGTACTTCAGATGCAAAGGGTAGATGTAGAGCCGGTTTCTGTAGGCGGTGAACGGGCAGCAGTACTTGGCCACCTCGGGCACAAATTCATCGACCTCGAGAGCCAGGCCGTCACGCCGCTCCTGTCCCTCAAAGGGCTTGATGGGGATGAAGGCCGCCGTGACGCAGTCTGGCAGAGGAGGAGAGCCAAAGGCACCCGTGGGGACGGCGCTCCCTCTTTGGACAAGCCAAGCCAACGGGGGAGGCCAGAGTTCCTCAACAACTGGGGCGGCAAGGTTGTAAAATCTGACACAACTCACTTAACAACCGTATCGCTTGGTGAGAGAAGTTCTGGCTACAATTGTGGTCATAACATGAGGACTACGTGTACATTGGACTGGCAGCCTGAAGGAGACTGACATCCGCCCCATCTCCAGAATATGCCAAGTGAATTTTCAAACCATGGTTTTTGTTAATAGCCATGGTTAAGGCCAAAGTGATGGGTTACTCGGTAGCTCTCTCTCTCTCTCTCTCTGGAAGCAACTAATTGATCAACCGATCCATCATTTTGTGGCTTAGAAACAAGGTTAGACAAGGGGAACTCAAGCCGATGAGTGCCAGAAAAAACGGCAGTCTCGCGTTCCTCCATCTTTGTGCTCTGCCCTTACTTGAGAGCTCCAGGGGGACACA